ACACCACATACCCAGGATCATTGGAGACGAGGTTAATGTGGGTTAATTCTTCTGATTTGTGCAATGTGTGCCATTAAATGTCAGCATTAGCATGTGGTGTGAGACTTAGTGCTGTTGAACACAGCTTTGTTTAGAATATCCGACTTATATAAGAGCTCATGGTAATGATTTTGTTAGATGAGGCCAGTTGTGAGGTGTTCTTCAACGTGAGTCACTCAAGTAAAGGGGTCTCTGAACTTTGATGTACTTTTCAGCTGAGCGACTGCAGAATCCCTTTGAGGAAGATGACAGCGGGGGCTCACAAAGCTGACTTCACGCTTTCCAATTCAAAAGCGTGCTGGTCTCGCAGAAATTTTTTACATCAGCATCTATATTTTTGATCCTTGAAGTGCAACAGGGATGCCATTAAAAACTCTCTTCAGTGATTTAACGTCAAATAATTTCAAGATTATTCCAGTCATGTTGAGAGCGGAATTTAGTGGTGGGTTTTAGGTATGGGAATTAAGCTAATTAATTAATGAAGTCTCTCAATTTCCTCTTTTTTTCAGTGCAAATGTTTTCACACTTTTTAATCCAGTGAATATGTCTCATGGTACTGTAGGTTTATTACACTGAAAGCTAATTTCTGGATAGACGCATTCCTTAAAAAGATACAGTTCACCAAAGGGTCTTGTTCGGCGTCCTGGGGTGTTGCAAAGTATTTGTGAAATCTAGCTAACAAAATATATATTGTGTGTTGGAGTGGTCCAGACGCTACACATGCTATTTCATTATTATAATTGTGGGGCATGTTGACACATTACATGTGGTAAGCTGTCATATTGAGAACCTGACACCGAATAAACTATTGTAGGCTTTTCAGCTCAAATTAAACATTTCAATAATACAAAAAAGGCCCTTAAGTATTAAAAAATATATAATTTTCACACATATGATGACCTGCCTATATATAAATGTGACAACTTTTCTCAACCCAACAGTCTGCCTTAATTATGTTGTTGACTTTTGTTGTCTTAATATTTAATTGTGTTTTTTTGTATTTATTTACTTATTAATCTTGAAACTTTAGTTTTGTTGGACAGAATTTACAAAATGGTTTGAAAGCAACATACAAAAGCAGTACTAAAGAAAACAAGCATTAACTTCCCTGTGTGACAGCTAGCCCCAGTGTCTAGCCTATTGCATAGACTCATCATCTAATTGTTCATTCTTGTTTCTGAAAAACAATAAAGGATCCTGTAATGAAGCACATTTCAACAGTTCCCACCTGAGACTTTACAAGGCACCCATCCATGCATTCGATCTGCCTGTACGAATTACCTTTCCCAATGATTTTAGGCAACAATTGCGCAAGGGACAAGCAGGAAGCTGTTGTGGCTTGTTATTGTTTTCTGTCAATTGTCAAATCTAAATTAGTTTCAAAGGAAAGGAAATTCAGTTTCTGATGCGTTTTTTGGAACGGCTTTGTAATGGTTGCCAGCACGATTTGTGATGAATACAACTCAGAGGGGGCCTGATAACTGCAAGAGCCATTAAAAGCACTCATGTGTGGCTCACGCTTAGCAAAACACCACCACACTTGGGCAAGAGCACTCTTTTGTTTGGAGGGACCCATTGATTTTGTCTTCATCTTTACTCCAAATCTGTTAAATGTTGTAAAATTACACTGCTGGTGATTGTAGATTTGATGGTCTGTCAATGAGCTTTTAAACACAATGAAATCTTTAGTAAGGAAATCCTAAAAAAAAAAAAACTAGGCCTGAATGCTAAGCTTGGACCAAACTGTTTGTGCTACAGACATTATTGATACTTGTTTTTGTCCATGCACTGAAAATTGGTGGGGTCCAAATCGGTGTGTTCCACAGAAGAGAGAAAGTCATACAGAATGACATGAATAAATGATTGCAGAATTTCCATTTTTGAGTGAACTATGCCTTTAAGAAGAGCAATCTGATTTACGACTAGGGATGGGTACCGAAACCCGGTATTTAATCGGTCCCAGGGCTAAATTATGAAAGACCGGAGTATCGATTTCTGGTTCTGCTATCGGTACTAGAGAAATTAAGAAAATACATAAATTTATTTGTGCTATATATACATTATCTTGCAAATTCTATCTCACCAGAGTCACCAGCTGTTTTTATATGCAATGATATTCAAACATTTGTCTATGATGCATTTTTGCTATTCGCTATTCAGAAGCGAGATCGCGCTCATGCGGAGGAGCTTCAGCATGCGCAACATGAAAGCCCTGCTTAATTATGATAGAGGAGAGAACTAAACATTCAAATGTCTGCTTACACTTTTGGCCTGTGGCTGTTATATTAAGCTAATGACATTTTTTTATTTCGATTTTAGCTTTTAAGGATTATAGCCGCATTTCTTCTAGCGCAACTTTTTTCCCCTTCACAGTGGTGTGCATTCGTTCCTCCCTAAAACCCAAACTTAAAGTCAGAATCAGCACAATCTGTGATTGTTGAAAAAAGGCCGTCTTACACTGTTGCTAAATTGTGGGACATGTTTGATAATAAAACGTGGAAATCCGCACAAGAGACGCTATTCCCCAGGCTGAAATGTGTGTACGTGGCGCGCTCCAAAACGGACAAGCTAATTATACTTTGAGCTTCGGGCACGTCCAAACGATCAAATACACACAAAATATGTCCAAATGGCCGGCTTGGAGAGTATTTACTTAAACACATTTTATGTCTTAAGTGGACGAGAACAGTTGGGAGAAAATCCGATGTGTGTCAATATATTGTCTTAAAGTGACAGACTGGCGCTTGGGCCATTAGTTAATCAAACAACAAAATGCAGACAAAATCACTCACAGCTCTTAATCTGAATTACATAGCTTTAATAAGCATTAATATATCAATACATACAGTGAAAACTGTAATTACTTAATTTACTTGTAATACCTAATTACTTGTAAATACTATAATTACTTGCCTGAACAGTAATGTTAGTAGACCTTCGTGGAAAAATGAAAGCACTGTTTATTTCATTTCATTTGTATATTTGTTTTATTGTATTTGTCAGTTTGTTTTACTTTGTTTCTTTGTTCATGTTCTTACTGTATCTTATCTTATGTACAGTATAAAACACTAAAAATGCCTGCACACTGGTGCATTTAAAAATGTATGTTTTATATTAATTTCATAAAATATTTATCTTACATTTCAGAATGTAAAGCAATGTTAATTCAGCTCTTAATTTGTCATTTGATTCCTGCCCGGGGTCGTCACATGTGGTTGCCGCAAGCCCGCCGGCTGCTCCTTCGTCAAAACCGCCGGCCGCCGCTCATTATAGCCGCCAGCCTCCGCTCACTCTAGCTACCGGCCTCCGCTCACTCAAGGCCGCCGTGTGTGATGCTGTGTGTTTCGTTGTAAAAGCGAAACTACTTTGTTTGGCCTATTCGGGCCAATCACAACGCACTGGATAGCTGGCCAATCAGAGCACACCTCGCTTTTCAGACCGATGAGCTTTGTAAAAATCGACGCGTTTCAGAAAGGCGGGGCATAGAGGAGAAACAATAATGTACAGTGTGTGGAAAATAATGTGTTTTTTTAACCTTAAACTGCATAAACATTTCATTACACCAAATACACAAAATAATGTTCTTTTTAGCAACATCACATGACCCCTAATTCCCGCTTCCACCCTCACCTGCCTCCCTGTAGCGTCAAGCAGAAATGTACTTGCCTGCTTATTGCTTCTATTGAATAACCCAGGTTGAGTAGATTGGAAGGTTGGAAAAAATGTGTCAGTGGTGACATTATTGCAAAGCAATATGACATTGCTATAGTCTTGCACCTTTCACAACATGTCCAGTGAAGTTAGCAAATTCAGTTTTATCCAAAACTGAGGAACGTGGATCTGTAATGTTTTATTACATTGGTTGTTGTACGAATTGTGGCAATTTGGAAATGAAATGTTCAGTGAGTGGCACTAAAAGTTTAATGCTCTACTGTATATTTGAAAATAACTTATCACCTACACTAAACCAAACCCCAAGTGAACTTGGGATAAAAACACATTTGCTGAAGCATCCATGCCATTTTACCTTGCTTCTACAAGTCTTTAAAAAATGTTAACATGACTAGTGTTTCTTCGTATCACAAGTGAAGTGGTTTACCAGGTGAGCTACCGAGCAAGTTTACTACATCAGAAAAGCCATACATGTGAAGCTGGTTATGTGATGCAAACATGTATTAGTTTATGAATCATTCACTAAGATACAAGTGTCTTGAGGAGATAAAATGATTGAAACTAAATCTTTATTAATTGATAATCTGCCACTGGAATCATCATTTCAGAATTGTGAAAGAGAATAAAAATGGCTGGTGTTTTACGGAGTTCATTTCAGCTGGAAACTGCAGTGAATTGTATGTATAGGTACATTTTTTGAGTTGATATTGAAGTAGCTGTCTGGGGGACGTTACCAAAATGGCCACCGAGTGAAATGACTTGCTTTAAAGTGCCTTTGAAACCACCTAGAACACCCTAGCAACCGAATAGCAATGCACTAAAATCCACTTTCAACACCTTAGCAACACATAGAAAAGCATTGTGGTGGAGTATTGCATGAGAAAGAAAAATCCAGTTGCACTGTAATATTCAAAACACAGCAGGATGTCAGTAATATGTGCTAGACATTCTCCCAGTCTCTTTGGCCCCTTCTTTTTGAATTTAACTTTCATCCTCAAACTTTTTTACCCCATTTATTCTAGTCTGAGTCAGCAAGAGGCTCAAACTCTCTCAATAAACAGACGCAATGGGTGGTGATTTAGCCTCCAGTCCAGCTGAAGGCTATTTACCACATCTGTATACACACTCCTCCAAGGCTTTAACTCTGTGTGGCTCACTGATTGTAGCGTAAAATAGTTTTTTAGGAACAAAAATACAATCGCACTGAATGTGCTGCATATATTTTCATGAATCTACAGTCTACATTAGCATAAGTGTAATGTTTTTCTCTGTTTTCTCTCCTTTTTCAGATTTGGAAAACTTCAAAATCCACAAGCGGAGTTCTGTGTCTGTCCGGGAAGGACAAGGAGTGGTGCTTCTCTGCGGGCCGCCCCCTCACTCCGGAGGTCAGTACTACTTCAAGCTCGTTCATATTTCATTTACACCTCATTTTTCCGGAGGAGAGGTCTTCCGGCAGTCTCTCGGCACTCGGTTGTCCAATCTGCAGATCATATAATCCCATCAGCATCTCTCAGTTCTCTGACAGCATGTGTAGGCAAGCCCAGTCGCCCTCCGGAGACGGAGCTGTTTGTGTGCAAACCCACTTCCACCCTCACCTGCCTCCCTGTAGCGTCAAGTAGCATCCTTCCCTATACCGAGCGAGGGATGCGGGTCAGAAAGCCGTAAAAAATTAAGATCGCTCTCTTCCTGAGTTACACAAAGACCCTGAAGCAGCAAGCATTTCATCCATGCTGGGCTGCTCCTCCCCTGTATTTCTCCCAGAGTTTCTCTGCCGAATCTCACGTCTCTACCTCCACCGTGAAATGTTCATTAACTCTGCCATCACTTTGATGGCCTCTATCAATTAATCCAGCTGCGTGTGATTTAACTGCTTATTAATGGTGCCAACAGTGTTGCTTGTTAGAAGAAGTGCTTTGTTAGCGTTTATTGCACAATAGGTGCTTTTTCACATGGCCTTTTTGAAGGGCGGCATGGATCCAAAGCATTCGCACTTTTGTTACGTGAGCTATGATTGAACAGCATCCAAAAAGACATTTATCCATCAGCTATCTTTAAATATACCCCAACCCCATATGTCTACAGTATGTAATTTCCCTCATACTTCTTAAATATGCTGTACATAGTCATAAGTGTATAAGTGTGTTATTATTTATGTTTTGTTGCTGATTCCATTTAAATTCTACCTCATGAATTGTAAGTGAGACAATCTTTAAATTCTAAATTAAATACGACTGATTTTAAACAATGGCACAGCACACATGTATTACACAAATTGGACAAAGAAAAGACACTGATATCAAAGTGATTCGCATCAAGCTCTACAGAGCGGGTAGAGCTAACAATTGTAAGAAGATTATATGTTAGTAAAGCCTGCATTGAGATATTTTAGGATGAAATCAATCAATAAAAAAAATCAATTCATCAAATCAAATTGGGTGACCAGAACTAACTGTTATAATCTGTGTTGAAATGTAGCAGATGAGTGGGCTGTTTCACATTCAACGGGGTCTGCTTTCTAAATTTGGCAGCTACAGGAAGTGGCAAAGCAACAAAGAGATCAGATTAGACAAAGACTCTTCCAGCTAGTTACAAATAGTATAATTCATAATTTTTTTCTGACAGACAAGCCATTTATTTAGATAATTATGTTATGTGTTAATGGTGATGTTAGTTATTATTGTATTCGCAGATGTTGATCGTTTCTTTGTCTAAGAGTTAGAAGTATGTCATTAGGTCATTTACTGGAAAAATGCGGGGTTGTCTTGTTGAAGAAATTTAATTGAGTCATTTTTAGAAGTTTTAAAGCGTTTCTTTGTAGTAAAATGGTTGAAGTAACCAATAGACATAACATTTACAGTATATTAAACATAGTATGTATTGTGTAAGCATACTATTAGTATTGCCCATTAACAGAGGCTGGTTAAAAAACAACAACAGCAACAACAACATTATAATATGATATGGAACTCTTAACAGTATCTGTTTTCTGCAGATACCATATTTCATATTTATGCAGATACTTCAATTCTCTGAAGTTTAAGAACTTCTTGTCTTTGTTGGATTTGGCAAGTGTTTTCTTGACTGTGTGGCTGCTAGTTGGTTTGCCAAAGATTCCTTTCAGCTGTCCTCATAAATTAGACGAAAATTCATTTTGGTGTTGGAGCGTGATTTATGTTTGACTCGTAGAAGGAGGAAACATAGAGTACAGGAGTACGAGACTGTCTGAAAAGGAACTGTTATTCTGTGCAAGTATAACGTGTCTGGATTTAAACAGAAAGAAGCCTTTGTATATTAACTTTTATCATGTCCTTGTCTCTGTGGCACTGTGGAAGGAAAAGCTCTGTGAAAGGAAGCAAGACTTTCTCTGTTAACTTTACAAAGCAAAATAATAATAACTGTAAGAGTTTGGCTGAATCTTTTATAAGTAGTTTGGAGGCTAGAGGTGTTAAAAAATACCAAGGTACTAAGTTGGTACTAAAATATAAAAAAATGTAACAATACCTGTCTTTCTGCATTATTAGTAGTAACAAGTAATGACTACATTTGGTTCCTTCACTTTGTCTGACTAACGTTTGAACACTGAAAAACCGTGTATGTGCTCAAGTTTACTTGAGTTCTTGTTTCATGCAAAAAAAAAAAAACTGTGTGTACCGTTTACAAATAAGTTAAATAAGTACTATAAAAGTGTTATTTTCTTATTTGGCAAATGCTTGAAGGCTGCAATTCTGTTCTTTCAATTTAATTAGTTAATACTATTTATTTATTGATGTACATTACCTTTCAAGTTCAGGATAAGTAAGATATTTTATTTAATAAAAAATAAAAAAATTCTGCAAGGATGTATCAAAAGTGACAGTAAAGACATTTATAATGTTGAAAAAGATTTCTATTTCAGATAAATACTGTTCATTTGAACTTTCTATTCATCAAAGAATTATAAAAAATGTATCATGGTTTCCACAAAGATATTATGCAACATTGATGATAATAAGAAATGTTTCTTGAGCAGCGAATCAACAGTAGAATGATTTCTGAAGGATCATGTGACACTGAACAACACTGGTGTAATGGCTGCATAAATTACATTTAAAATAATATTAAAATAGAAAACAGTTATTTTAAGTTTTAATAATATTTTTGATTATGAATTAAACATAATAATAATTATTATTTATTTGTTTATTTATTTATTTTAATCATGTTTTATACTATAATAGTATACTTAGTTCATATAAATTGTTATAGTAGATACAAATCATTATTAAGCGTGTATTCAGTAGCATTAGTTTTTGCTGAACTGATTTTGAGAATCATGGTATTGACTATTGAATTTTTGGTATTGTGACAGCCCTGTTAGAGACTATAAAAGTGCTGTACAGCTGAACTGATTCAGTGCTCAAACAAATCACCCCAGATTTTCTTGTACAAGCTGTAATAGGTCCAGAAAAGCTAATAAAAAAGCGTTTAGTCATAAATAATTAATGCTGTAGTATTTCGACATCGATACACTTTAAAGACGTGTGTCTCCAGTTCTTGTCTGCTTTGGAAAAAGTGACTTCCTGTGACAGCTGATGATGACATTGATCATTTATGCCATCCATCTCTTTCTCCCCCAAGCATCCTCCGCAGTCAAACTTGGCATAGTCAGTGGGTGGCGCAGTAACGAATGAATATCGCAGCATCGTGCTATTCATTACCTTCTGCACTCGGGGTCTGAATGACTGGCTACAGCTTTGAGGACTCATATGCTGCAGAGAACCTCTCGTCAGGAGCAGGGCCCTGCCTGCCAGAGCAACTGTCAGGGGAAGCATAAGGCAGAGAAGACAGCTGGCCCCCTGTTTCCTTATGCCGCGGATGCGCTCGCACATGCTGATTGAGCTGTATATGATCCACTGGCGAGGGAGAAGGCGAGAAGAGAGGATTGGGGTGTGATTGGAGGAGAAACTGTGTGCTGGCTCTTACGCTGCTCCAATACAAATGTGATAAGATGTTTGGCCACGTGCAACAGTGTGAGCATGCATTAGCGTGCCAAACCTCCCGAGTGTGTATACATGTGTAAGCTTGTGACTCAGACTATGAAATGGAAGCAGATGATCTCTTGCACATTATCTGCATTTTTGCTCGGTTAAATCTAAGGATCTCTCATGAGGTTGAGAGCTAATTGTTTGGTAGATCATAGTCTGTAGAGGATCAAGGGCATTAGTTGTGTTTGCTGATAGCGTTTGGTTGAAGGGCACCTGAACTGGCTTGGCCAGGCTTGGAGGGCAGTTTAATGATTTTAAACACTAATCTAACACTAATTGTATCAAGACAATAAACAATTTAGCTATTATGTACTCTATATTTCTAATTCAGAGTTTCTTCAGGTGTTAGTTCACACAAATGAAGGCCTTAAAGAGGTCTTAAATCACAGCAGAAAGTTATATGCCGCATGCATTGCTAAAAATTAAGATCTTCCTCAGTATTGTTGTCTTGTTGTCCAATATGAAGTCTTGTTTTCTAAAAAAAATGCTCTTTTTAATCATTAACTCTTAACTTTATTTTGATCAATTTCACAGAAAACATGCCATTTTGCTTCTCAAGTAAATGTATCTTGATTTAAGAATCTTTTGCACTGGAAAACAAGACAAATATACTAAAGAAGAACATCACTTTTTGCAGAATGTATACAGTATTATGTTCCCTTTAATTTATAATTTTTTTAAATTATGATTTTTAACACCTTAATCTTAAAAAAGTCATAAAGTCTTAAATTGACCTTCATAAAACCTGCAGAAACCCTGTAATTGTTTGATGTCTATTTATTTATTTATTTATTTAGTATTTAAATGTGTTACAGCATTTTAAAATACATGCAGATGCATTATACAAATAGAATATTAGAAAAATAAGAAAAAGAAAATATAATAATCATAATAAATAAATAAATCACAATAAATAATAAATCAATTATTATTAAATCATAATAAATAAAGCTTTTGTTTTAAAATAAGTTATATTTTCTATTTTTTTCTTATGTTCAGTAAGAACATAATAATATAAATAATAGCAATTATACTGTTTATAATTATTACTGTATATATGTGTTGTGTGTGTGTCTATGTATGTATGTATATATATATATATATATATATATATATATATATATATATATATATATATATATATATATATATATATACACCATCTTATTTTTTTGTTAGCAAATGTAAATTACAGTGACAAAATACATTCTTTTATGAACATTTTTAAAATATCATGAAGCTCTTTTGATTGGTGATTACACTCAAGGAGTCTGAACTCATAAGATTCTATATATGTATGATCGGTGAATAAATGAGGAGCACTCTAGCACCATGCATTATGGGACTTATTAAGTCATCAT